ATCAGTAGTGATGACTACTGTCACATCCTGACATATACCCATGTCTATCAGTAGTGATGACTACATCCTGACATATACCCATGTCTATCAGTAGTGATGGCTACATCCTGACATATACCCATGTCTATCAGTAGTGATGACTACATCCTGACATATACCCATGTCTATCAGTAGTGATGACTACTGTCACATCCTGACATATACCCATGTCTATCAGTAGTGATGACTACATCCTGACATATACCCATGTCTATCAGTAGTGATGACTACTGTCACATCCTGACATATACCCATGTCTATCAGTAGTGATGATTACTGTCACATCCTGACATATACCCATGTCTATCAGTAGTGATGACTACTGTCACATCCTGACATATACCCATGTCTATCAGTAGTGATGACTACATCCTGACATATACCCATGTCTATCAGTAGTGATGACTTCTGCTGTGTCCTCTCTTATACCCATTGCTATCAGTTGTCGATGCTGTCTCATCCTGTCCCATTCAGGATCAATATTATATTCTGAGAACCTCTCAGCAGATTTTGTGAACCTTTTTAAGGTAATGGCATGTTAGGGTGAAAGGGTTAAAGGTCACATTTGATAACTTCTGTAACTCCTCAAACAATGATACTGATATTATACATTGGAATGGTAGCTTTTATGTCATTGCATCATCTGGTTGTTTGATTCAGATGCTATTCTACACTATACCATAGCGTAAGTGATTTATATAAGTACCCATCACTTCTTATTTCTTCTTGTATCTGTATCAGTTCTAGTTTTATATTTCTAATCAAAATGTAAAGTTATGGAATTATACAGAAAAATATCACAAATTACAAGCAATGTAATTGATTTAATGATGTTCTAATGAAACGGAGGGAGATACAACATTGAATATCAAAACTTTTTACTGACAGAAAGGATATTATCATATGTTCCCTTTAATAAGCCCATGCTTGGTAATAAGTTCACCCATATATATTACTGTTCAGTAAAGTTATAAACCAATGTTATTTCAATATCCTGTAATAAGCCCACCCTGACTTTCAGTAAGAAGTTATATCAATTACCTGAATGTACGCTGTACAAGACAAATAATGGTTTTGAAGGCAGGTGGCTGCTGTAGATGTATAATTTTAAACAAAAAGATCACCATTAGTGAGGTGGAATGTATTCTATAGAGAAAGTAAGTTTGTGTGCTCTTTGTTAAATATTTCATTCAGCTTGTAACAATCAGAAAATATATGTGACTGCCAATGAAGGCCCAGTACAAAACTCAGTATAAGGTTCAGAATGCTCACAAAAATTTGCATGTGAAGTCTTAATTATTCCATAGAATTTCTGTCTGAAGAAGTGGTGAGTTTTTTCTTCCCGGAAGCACTGAAAGAGGAAAAATGCACTTTATGTAGTGTTCTGACCATGTGTTAAATGGACAGTTGAGAAGTTGTGGCCACAAATCACAGCCTCATCTGACTGAGGAATGACATTCCATGCTAATACCCCTGACTGGCCCCAAATGTACGCTTAGACCTGACCATGGCCACAACATGATTGTTCACAGTTTTAAAACACTAATTGTAGCAATTGAATTTACTATTTAAAAAAAGACAGAAAATATGTTGAAGCAAGAATTGCTTTAATTTCAAATTAGAAAATATCTTGGTGACATGTTTTTGAGGTTAACAAAGCCAATAGTTAATTTCTGAAAGTCCTATTTGTAACAAAGGATATATTTACAATGGAAATAAAATTATGGCAGAAAGTATTTTACTTTTAAATACTTTTTAAATTTCTTTATTTGTGTTTTGAAACATATCATTTGACAAAATGAAAATTTCTAAGGCCATGACTAATACGTTGTATATTTTTAGATACGTTTTGTAAGGAAGGATTTTAAGTAATTAACATCTATGAAACAGAGCAGTGTGTTGACCTACACTATAAGTGTTTTATGATGTTTGTAGTTTATTTTTATGTGCTCTTTTATTTATTTTTTATGCTCGACCTTTATTTTTTGGATAGGGAATGGTGGGGGTGGGGGTCCGTCCTGATCCATGGTATCCCAACCTAAATTGATGAATTTATGTCATATTGAGAGAACCTTTAACAGAGTTAAATCATATTTACTTGTATTATAATTTATTAGTACTAAGTTTGAACACAGAATTATAGATAAATACAACAGTTTTTGAGACATGTACAGTCAACTACCAGCATTTTGAGACACGTAAAGTCCACTACCATCATGTTGAGACATGTACGGTCAACTTATTCCATATTGAGACACATTTAGTCAACTACCATTTTACTGAGACATGTATAGTCAACTACCATGATATTGAGACATGTACTGTCCACTACCATCATATTGAGACATATACAGTCCACTACTATCATGTTGAGACATGTACAGTCAACTACCATCATATTGAGACATGTACAGTCCACTACCATGATATTGATACATGAACAGTCCTCTACCATCATGTTGAGACATGCACAGTCAACTACTATCATATTGAGACATGTACAGCCACTACCAGCATTTTGAGACACGTAAAGTCAACTACCATCATATTGAGACATGTACAGTCCACTACCATCATGTTGAGACATGTACAGTCAACTACCATGATATTGAGACACGTACAGTCCACTACCAGCATTTTGAGACACGTAAAGTCAACTACCATCATATTGAGACATGTACAGTCCACTACCATCATGTTGAGACATGTACAGTCAACTACCATGATATTGAGACACGTACAGTCCACTACCAGCATTTTGAGACACGTAAAGTCAACTACCATCATATTGAGACATGTACAGTCCACTACCATCATGTTGAGACATGTACAGTCAACTACCATCATATTGAGACATGTAAAGTCAACTACCATCGTATTGAGACATGTACAGTCCACTACCATCATATTGAGACATGTACAGTCAACTACCATGATATTGAGACATGTACAGTCCACTGCCAGCATTTTGAGACACGTAAAGTCAACTACCATCGTATTGAGACATGTACATTCCACTACCATCATATTGAGACATGTACAGTCAACTACCATCATGTTGAGACATGTACAGTCAATTACCATCATTTTGAGACACATAAAGTCAACTACCATCATATTGAGACATGTACAGTCAACTACCATCATATTGAGACACGTAAAGTCCACTACCATCATGTTGAGACATGTACAGTCAACTACCATCATCTTGAGACATGTACAGTCAACTACCATGATATTGAGACATGTACAGTCCACTACCATCATGTTGAGACATGTACAGTCAACTACCATCATATTGAGACATGTACAGTCAACTACCATCATCTTGAGACATGTACAGTCAACTACCATGATATTGAGACATGTACAGTCCACTACCATCATGTTGAGACATGTACAGTCAACTACCATCATATTGAGACATGTACAGTCAACTACTATCATATTGAGACATGTACAGTCAACTACCATCATATTGAGACATGTACAGTCCACTACCATCATATTGAGACATGTACAGTCAACTACCATCATATTGAGACATGTACAGTCCACTACCATGATATTGAGACATGTACAGTCAACTACCATGATATTGAGACATGTACAGTCAACTACCATGATATTAAGACATGTACAGTCAACTACCATGATACCGAGACATGTACAGTCAACTACCATCATATTGAGACATGTACAGTCAACTACCATCATGTTGAGATATTTACAGTCTAATACTATCATATTGACCTACGTATTTACAGTCAACTACCATTATGTTGAGATATTTACAGTCCACTACCATGATATTGAGACATGTACAGTCAACTACCATCATGTTGAGATATTTACAGTCTAATACGATCATATTGACCTATGTATGTACAGTCAACTACCATCATGTTGAGATATTTACAGTCTAATACGATCATATTGACCTATGTATGTACAGTCAACTACCATCATGTTGAGATATTTACAGTCTAATACGATCATATTGACCTATGTATGTACAGTAAAACTCGGATAAATGTCGAGCCATGGGACCATATAAGATATTTGACACAACCAACAGTTAATTTTAAGACTCATTATGGCACCTGTATAAATTTCACTCAGTTAGGGGTAATTTTTAATGAATTTGAATATGTATGCAACAAAACTGCTGCATTCAATTGTACTGTGTTATTTAAGGGATTAAATGGTTAGATATTTATTTCATAATTGATAAAAAGTATTACATTTAAATATCTTTTAAAAATTGTGTACTTTCTGTTAATTATGATATTTTAAAGTTAACAATTTTATTAACAACATCAAAAAATTAAAATAAAATAGGAGCGAGCTAACATTAATTCATATCATTATCGTTCGGTGAGTGTAAACAATGTCTTTGCGCATGCAATCTTAGATTCAGATTAATTCAAATTCATTTATTTTGCTGTGTCATGTGTATAGCCTGAAACAAGACGTCATCTTAACATAGAATTGAAACATGGCAGGCAAATAAAGTTTTAGCTAATTACAAAATTATACATACCAGGTAGTAAGAAGTCATATCAAAATGGTACTTTAAAACGAGGCGCCGAAAGGTCACATGATGAACTTGGCTATCTTCAATGAAAACAGTGATTGGTGGTAGACACAAAAGCGAATGACAACTAGCGTTAGTTTGAAGCTGATAATCTTTATCAGTTTCTCTCAGAGAGCATTATTATTTTGTGAAGAGTCTAATTTAAGTATTGCAATGCCTGCCCAAAATCAAATGCATGAGAAAAATGAAAAAAAAAAAAAAAAAAATCTAGCGATTTATTCCCTTTAAATGCAAGTGAATTTTTGCTGTTTGAGCTTTAGAAAAACACAATAATGGAGAACCTTGACCAGCAAATGGACAAATACTTCTCTATATAGCACTGGTATTGTAGTCTCTTAAATAAGACTTTGTTTTTTTAATTCAGATGGATGGCGAAAAACAGCAGGAAAACGATCCTATCCTCAATGCCAAGATGCTCAGTAAGAGGTTAGGTCATGTGACCATTGTAAAGAAGGGCGAGAATGACATTATCACAAATGGCAATCATGGTAAGTATTCTCTGTTCAAGGTCAAATTTACTTTAAACGTTTTAATATTTTAGAGCATTAATTTCATTGTTAAATGTGATAAAATTAGGTTACTGCTAAAATATAAACGTTTACATTAGTACAAAGGTTTTTTGTTTGATAAGAAATAAAATAAGAAATTTAGGGTTCAAGTTCAAATATGATAAACATATACCCTATTTTCTGGGCGATAAACCGCACACGAGTATAAGCCGCAGGGCTGGTTTTAAGCGTTTTTTTTCTGTTTGATCCACATATTAGCGGCATCAGGATGTAAACCGCACCCCTTTCTTACGATGTGGTAACAGTTATGTTAACAAATGATTGTTGATATAGCAGACAACGGAAAGCAATTTGTCAAGATCAAGTGAAACATTTAATATAAGTTTCTAAATGAAATATACACAGATAATCCTTTATTTTATTGATGTGTTTGAAAAACATAAAATAGCAATTATCAAACTTGTTTGGCTTGGGAGCCTTCAAAGATTGTCTACGCACAGATATAGGGCCTGACATTACATATGGTTTACTTAACAATATCTCCTTCGGTGTCTGTACTGTTAGATATTACTGAAGAACTTGCATGCTGACAAAATTCATATAGTCCCAAATGATTTCTGGTAAGTTACACAAAGCCATTTTTATCGTAAACAAGTATGGCACTCATTCTAGAATTTGACCTGATGACCTATTGATCCCAGGATGCAACAGGCTATTATAAACTTCTGCAGCAACCACGAAATTTCAGAAGATATTATTGTGGTGCATATTAAAAGGTATGATTAGTCAAATCCATAAGAAGGTTATTTTTGTTTCAATCTGTATACGATTGCAAATGACGGTCCTAGATGATCTGTTTCAGTCACAAACATGCGATGGACAGGTACTTGTAAAAAACTGACAATTTTTTTTGTCCAAATATATAAGCCGCACCGGTATATAAGCCGCACACCCGACAGCGAAGGAAAAACGCCATGGTTTTTAACCGGAAATATGATACTAGTTTTAAGGTCAAGGGTAAAGATACAGATTATTAAATAAAGAGATATAATGTATAGAAATAAGACAGTAATGTAATATTTTTTGTAGGAATTAGTCAGGAGATAAGATGTTTTAGGAGTAAATCAAGAAATTCCTTGTTTTAGGAACGTCAGTAGGTACAATGTTTATAGGAATAGGTCAGGAGATAAGATGTTTTAGGAGTAAATCAAGAAATTCCTTGTTTTAGGAACGTCAGTAGGTTCAATGTTTATAGGAATAGGTCAGGAGATAAAATGTGTTTAGGAGTAAGAAAATCCAATGTTTTAGAAATGAGTGAGGAGATACAATGTTGATAGGAATAAGTCAGGATATATAATGTTTATAGAAATAAGTCATGAGATATCATGTTGATTGGTATAAGTCACTTAACATATGTTAACCTTCAGTAGTAGGAAGGTTTCAAACTTCTCTCAGTACTATAAAAAAAATTTTTTTTCGAAACTGCAGTTCTCACCAAATTTTCCCCTCACAATTAATGTGTGTCAGTGTGTGTTTAAAATTTGTGCAGTTTTTCAACTCAATTTTAAAGCCTACCAGCATGTAATATATTAATTACTACACCGCAAGAAGGGATGCTGCAATATCCCAAACCTTGTGGTGATGGATATAGCCTTGATCAGAGAGACAGTTCCACTGTCTAGCCAAAGCTAGGGGTCATTTAGACCAAGGTGTCAAGGTCATTGATGTGATGTGTCTGCTCTAGTAGTTGTCATAAAAATTCATTGCATAATCCATATTGCCTTTTTTCTTACCTGATATTTGTGTTGTCTTCAAAATCTTACAGATATATAGTGATTCAAATGAAATTATTTCCATAACTTGTATAAGCAAAAAAATCAGATGTTAGTTGTCAATTCTGGAGGTTTCTTGAATTCATTTATAGGGTTCTCCCACTGTTCAATGTTGATGATATTAAATCCCCGGTCTCTGATTCAGGAAGAATAATGATGATAGGGGTTTCACCTACCAAAAGTCTGTGGTTTCGTGATGGGTGCATTTCATGGCTTTTGTCACGGAACTGTTGAATGCCTTTGACCTATAAAATATGCATTACCTTTGTGTTGGTTTTAACTCCGACTATTACCTATAAATTACCTGTTAGCTAGCTGTCATCAGGTGTGTCTAACCTGTTAGGTAAGAAAGGGGTACTCATCATAGGTTATATCAAATTCTTTGGGGTCACTTCCTACCAGAATATCACTCCATTCTGAGTCATTTAACCTCAGAAGTAATGTGTATCAAGTCTGTTATCTAATAAGGAATGGTATTTTAGTAATATTTTTATTGCTTTCTTTTTAGTGTCTTCCTGGTGGTTTTATTAAATGATTAAGTTCAGTATTTCTACATGTCTATTTCTCTAAATTAGTAAAAAATTAATACAAGCTAATAACACCCCATAGATGGCATCTCATGAACCCTTCCAACAGATTTAGGTCATATTATAACCACAGTTGTTTATTGATTAAGTTAAAAGAAGTCTAAGATCACTTTTGAACAATTTTGAAATAAAAAAAACTTGCAAACAGATATCTCATGAAACCCTCAACTGATTAACATCACATTGAAAACAATGAATCAGCGATCAAGGTTAAAAAGTCAAGGGTTACACTTTAACACTTTTTTAAACAAAATGCTGAAAATACATGCTATTTCAAGAAACTTTGAAAAGGTTTTATTGCTATTTAACCACATGTTAAATTTCATACAAGTATTAGCCTTCATCACTTCCTGACAATGGAATGGGTATTCTGTATCTTCGTGACTAATCTCACTCATTTTGTTATTGTTAGTTTTTATTGCTATTGATGATATGCAAACTATCATATTTATTATATTTTTAGCTGTGAAATATAGGGATATCTCAAACTGTGAGGATTGACCAATCAGAGAGCCCGATACAAATCTACTCCAATTCCGTGTCATTGATAGTGACAGCGACTAGGATGGCACCATACGTTTTCATGCTTTCATGCTTTCATGCGCGGAAGAATTTATCAAACATTGTTTTTATTTTTTCAGTTAACGTTTAAACCATTTTATTGTGTATAAGTGACATCAATAAATTACAAAATCCATGTCCAAACACAAATAAACATTCATTATGATTTATTTATGAGTATATTTTTACTGATTTTTCATAAAATGGACTATTTTTTGCCGCGCACAACATCATTGTATGATGAGTGAGTAGTGTCTGGAAAAAGCATGGTCAACTTACCCATTTTATAGTTATCGTATATTTGCCATTGTTTTGGTTTATTTTTGCGATGAAAATGTAGTAAACAGAATATTTAATAGTGCACGAGTGCGAAGCATGAGTGAAAGATAACAAAATTTTAGCCACACGAGTATATATATATTTGTTATTACTGAAGACACTATTAAATATCCTATATATATATAGAATGTAGAACTATAAACTCAAATTCATGCATTGAACAGGCACTTAAAACTATCTTGATATTTTCTACTGTTTTACTTATATGTGTTTATACAACTTACAGATGAATTTGGGATGCCTGTCTGATCTCGGCTAATATGCACATTATTTTTAGTACTGATCAGTTTACTGACCTTGAGCATGATGTTAATTTTGACTGACCTTGGTCTTTGTCATATGCAACTGACCTTGAATTCTAGGTTTGATTGTTAGTATATCTAACAAATCACTGACTTGTTCCATACATGGCTACGGACCAATTCATCAAGCCAACTAATCTAAGCCATTGAGAGAGATATAAATTGTTTGTAATAAAGGGGAGATAAGCAGTGTTTATATCAACATAAACATGTCATTAGTAACAAGGGACTGTGATTGGGTGTGGTGGTGACAGAACACAGGTGGGGAGGGAGCCACATGGCTGTGATACCTCTCTGATAACCCTACCTCACACACAGGTCAAGTCTAGGCCTGGACATAGAGGTCAGGGGAAAGGTCATTTCCGACCAATGTAGGAACCATAAACATGTCATGTCTTCTGATACCACCTGATTATCACAATGGTACAATGACTCCTTAATTGGTGGCACCATTTTTAATTGCATTTCCTTTCACCCTGGATCCTGTATTCTGTCAGAGAGGTGTAAATACAACACCTTAGGGGATACCAGCAAGATCGCTAACTTGATTTATATTGTAAACATTGATGTCCTGAAAAAAATATAAATTTGACTTAATATCGGATGAGAAGAGAGTAAAACTTGATGGGTGTCAGATACACTCGCTCTTCATATAAAGTCATATAAAGTGTTAAACTGGTGCAATGTTAGATAAATGGTTCAGTGTCTGATGAATTGTAAAACTGAAGCAGTGTCTGATTAAGTGTAAAACTGGTTCAATGTCAGATGAAGTGTTAAACTGGTGCAATATTAGATAAATTGTTCAGTGTCTGATAAATTGTAAAACTGAAGCAGTGTCTGATTAAGTGTAAAACTGGTTCAATGTTAGATAAATGGTTCAGTGTCTGATGAATTGTAAAACTGAAGCAGTGTCTGATTAAGTGTAAAACTGGTTCAATGTCAGATGAAGTGTTAAACTGGTGCAATATTAGATAAATTGTTCAGTGTCTGATAAATTGTAAAACTGAAGCAGTGTCTGATTAAGTGTAAAACTGGTTCAATGTTAGATAAATGGTTCAGCATCTGATAAAGTGTGAAACTGGTGCAGTGCCCGATAAAGTGTAAAACTGGTGCAATGTTAGATAAATGGTTCAGCATCTGATAAAGTGTGAAACTGGTGCAGTGGCTAGATAAAGTGGTAAAGAGTAAAGTATAGTGTTTGGCCTCTAAAAATTGGGATATAGTCATGTCTAAAATATCTGCTGCATAAGGACATAATCCTATATAACTTATTCACATGTACATGTGTAATCTAAATGTTATCAAAACCCTTCAGCTTTCAGTAAATTGATGTCCTTTTATGTCTCTCAAATAGCAACCTATGTTCTGTGTTATTTAATTCCATGTACAGTCAAACTTCATTACCTGCCTAAATCTTCTCACAGAATTATCCTATTTATGACTTATTGAAATACTCTGATAAATTTCTTCATAGTCCCCTTGCCTTTGAAGATAATGAAATTTGACCTGCCATGTCTAAATGATCTCATTAACATTTTTAATTTGTTTGTAATATTACCATTGAACACTGTGGAGGTAGGTTAGACAGGATTGATGTTTGTTATGTCAGACTGAGGATAAGGTTGGATATTGTTGTCTAGTTTATTGGTGTTGTTTTTATATCACAACAATTATACCTTTTATATATGGGCAAATCCACTGATAAATATAGAATAATTTCACTCCCTAATGTACATATGTGCTTACCATATCCTAAAATTAGGATGTTACTTAGGGTAGGTTTACACATAGATGCTGATAAACTACCTGTAATTGTGTGATTAAAAGATCATAGTGAGTATTTATTGAGATCACATCCGACTTTGTCTGTAGTGGTCGAGACAAACACGGAGTTCCTAACACTCAATACTGACGTGGTTTATTGGAGATTTATATCCAGGAGTATAAGCCATCTCTCTTATTTCTATACTTAATCTCACCATCAGAATGGTTTCAACACAGTCGGTGTAATTTGTTCTTGTCATTTGAAATATTTTCAAGATGGAACAAACCATTTGTTCCACTTTATAAGATCATCCTAAAATGTAACGGCAGTGCCTGTTGTTCCACGTTTCCGTCAGTATGGTGTGGCATGCATGTTGTTACCATCAAGGAAGGATCTATTAGCCTCAAACACTCAGAAGCCAGTTGGTATGCCTCATTGCCTCTTGCGTCAAGAATTCTACAAAGAAATATTTCTTAAAAACTTTTTAACGGTGTGGGGTTTCTGTTTTTCCACTCAGAGCATGTGCCCATGTATTAACACGCCAATCTAATGTGTATGACAAGTATCTCTCCGAAAGAGAATTGCTACCTTTCAGTAGAATCAAGTCTAGATCACAAGTTATACAAATGTCAGCCTTGGACAGAGAAAGATTACCATCGTAGACAGCCTCCTTCTGGGGGAGGAATCGCCTGTCGGTGCACATTGCTGCACTAATTGCACGCGGTTTTGGATTCCCTCACAGCTGGTACTCGTGACCTGTATGAACTGTTTAGTCATGTCACTAGACAACAAAATCAACTCTTTAGTCTTTGTATAAATAACTTAGAAAACTGCGCCAAGTAGACAATTATATTTAAATGCTCTATAATTCAGTGATAAATAAGTTTTGTTACTACCCAGTGATATATGCAACCACCTGTTATATGAACAGTTTGTACAATGTGATTGACCTACAGTAAAAATATAATTGAAGCAGTCTGATGATCACATGTTTGGCTTTCATTTCAGCATTTGAAAAACAACCATTTTGGCTATGCATGCCCATAGTATCAAATGTGTAGTATGTATAGTTACTCTGACTTCAGTCATTCGTAACAAGTTATTGACACGTTAGACAAACCACTTAGGCTGTGTTTGTGAAAATGAGTGTTTTTAGAAAAGGATTGTTAGGACTGACAATGGTTATGGTATTGATGCTATTGTCTTCCTAATGATCGATCAAAAAAACTTCATTCCTGGCTGTACCAGCCCGCACCATCTGAGGTACTAGTGACAAATGTCCACGCTTACCCATTCTAACTCCGTCGGCATTTGTCTTGCACATTTTAATTCCCTACTTTATTCCGGTGTCATTTATCTAATCTCTAGCTCCAAAATTACTGTTTACATGCAGAGCAATACAAAGATGGAAACAAATTATTAAAACTTCTGTAAAAGATTTTTACATTGTCATGTTCAACATGAAGAGAGACGAGAAAGACATTTTTCATAACTTAAACTGAAATTTAACAAACATGATATCAAAATCAGCTTTAAAGTAAGGTGATTATTATCAGTTAGGAGTAATCAGTTATGTCTGTTTCCAGAATGTCTAATGATGCTAGAGAAATGGTTTGTTACTTTCCAGAAAGTTGTAATTTGGTTAACACAATATAAATAGATTAGCAAAGAGTCAATTTAATGCAGTATCAGCTACACTGTAAAAGGAAATAAAATTGAGGTTTTGTCAGAGTAGTATTTTGTCAAAACATGATGCCAAGGTGATATCAGTGAACAGTGATATCAAGGTGTGGTAAACAATGACAGCAAAGTGTCAGAATAGTAATACCATAGGTGAGAATTGTTGAACTAAGGTATCAAGGTGTAAGAATATAGATACCAAAGTGACAGAATAGTGGTACCAAGGGATCAGAATAGTGGTACCAAGGGGTCAGAATAGTGGTACCAAAGTGACAGAATAGTGGTACCAAGGTGTCAGAATAGTGGTACTAAGGTGTCAGAATAGTGGTACCAAGGTGTCAGAATAGTGGTACCAAGGTGACAGAATAGTAGTACTAAACTGACAGAATAGTGGTACCAAGGGGTCAAAATAGTGGTACCAAAGTGACAGAATAGTGGTACCAAAGTGTCTGAAGAGTGGTACTAAGGTGTCAGAATAGTGGTACTAAGGTGTCAGAATAGTGGTACTAAGGTGACAGAATAGTGGTACTAAGGTGTCAGAATAGTGGCACTAAGGTGTCAGAATAGTGGTACCAAGGTGTCAGAATAGTGGTACCAAGGTGACAGAATAGTGGTACTAAGGTGTCAGAATAGTGGTACCAAGGGGTCAAAATAGTGGTACCAAAGTGACAGAATAGTGGTACTAAGGTGACAAAATAGTGGTACCAAGGTGTCAGAATAATGGTACCAAGATGACAGAATAGTGGTACCAAGGTGACAGAATAGTGGTACCAAGGTGTCAGAATAGAGGTACCAATATGCTAGAATAGTGGTACCAAGGTGACAGAATAGTGGTACCAAGGTGACAGAATAATGGTACGAAGATGTCAGAATAGTGGTACCAAGATGTCAGAATAGTGGTACCAAGATGTCAGAATAGTGGTACCAAGATGTCAGAATAGTGGTACGAAGGTGACAGAATAGTGGTACTAAGGTGTCAGAATAGTGGCACTAAGGTGTCAGAATAGTGGTACTATACCAAGGAAAGGTGTTACCAAGGTGTTTGCAGCTTGATATGAACTTATGAAAATTACAGATTCTTTGAATTGAGTCTTTGAGAACAAAAGTAAACACCAAAACCTCTACAGAAATCAAACAAAAGGACTTTAACAGTGTACCAGCTTTATTTTCAAAAAACCACCAATGTATTTCCACAGTTACTCAGTATTTTTTGTTGTGCCATTATATATAGATTTATATATAAATTAAAAAAAAGTAATGCACTTTTGAAAATATTCTGACATCCAGATCTGTCACATGTAGGGTATATGCTGGTTCTACCAGCATGGTTGTGCAATATTTATTGACAGTTCAGTGCAGTATCTGAAAATTTTTGAGTACGTTAGACAGTAGCAGATTACAGGGTCACGCATGTTTAAATGATCTTGTTTGAGTAGAAACTATGTCATATGTTCCGAAGTAAAGTTGTCTTATGGCTTTCCCTGGTATAAGTGATATCACTGAATATCACCAGTCAGGGGAAATAATTCCTGCTATTTTAGTTCTCCTGAATATGTCAAAAATGACTATACATCAATTGTTCTAATGCCTCCGCCAGGGATCAAACCTGAAACCTTTGGCTTGTTGAAGTTTTACACTAAACTAATGGAGTGAAAAAAATGTTTTCCCTAGCGGAGTGGCACATCACTGTTGGTGATTTACCAAGGTTACGTTAATGTCACATTTTTAATTTAAAAAGATTAAATAGTGTTATTCCTTCACTTTAATATATAAATATCTATTTTTATATCCTTTTCTGACATTTACAGTGAAGTTTACAGTTGAGATGTATTATTAGGTGATGAGCAGTTTAAATAAGGATGATATGGTAACTCAACAATTTTCCTTTTACCAGTGTTGGTGTGTGGTGCAGAGGGTAGTCCAAGGAGGTGTGGAGGTCAGGGTGACCTTCTCTCTGGTACAATGGGGACCTTGACCCACTGGAGCCACATGATCAGTCAGGAAGGCACCACCAAGTATGTACCCTCTTTTTCATGTCTTTTTTAGTTGTTGCTTAAGTAAGGGTCATGTTTGAAATGTCCAGACAGACAGAAACAAAACAAAAAACACAAAAATAGGAAGGAAAGGGATGTCAGTGTAACATACATGGTGTTGACCATACATATGTAATATATAGCAGAGCTGTGAATAACTGAAGGTTTAAACAATGTTTCAATTGTGATGTCGTAACTTCTCGGTGTCATTTAATGTGTTATGACATCACCAAAGGAAGAGTACAGGAATGAAAATAAACCATTTTAGATTTAAGAAAGGTCTAATAACATGCTGCTTTCTGTTGAAAGCCTCTTAATTTCATATGAGATTTGAACAATCTCATACAATGGAAAATCATGTTTAGTTACTTCATTTTCATAGTCTTCTAAATGAAACGTCCCAAAGAGACACTTTGATTCTGCAGAAGGTCCCATACTGGTGGCCTCATATAATGGCATACAGTATAATACAGCAGCTATGATGTCAGTGCAGGTCGTGACATAACCAGAAATACCAGCCCTTGTTGATGAGACAATGCCCAGCCATTGGAAGAATAACTGATACAATAAACCTGTCAGTAATTGACCAGGTTATAAACTGCATTGGTATGTAAGTCACAGAGCCAATTTTAATGATTTTTGTTTGATTTGAACCACATATCAGACTCATCCGAATATAAGCTGCACCCTTTCTTACAATGTGGTAACCATTATGTTGACCTAAGTTTGTTGATATAACAGACAGCGGAAGGCAATTTATCAAGATCGTCAGTGAAACATTTAATATAAGTTTGCAAATGAAATATACACAGATATAATCCTTTGTTTTATGGATATGTTTCAAAAATGTAAAATAGCAATTATCAAACTCGTTTAGCTTGGGAGCCTTCAAAGATTGTCTACACACATGTATTAGGGCCTGACATTACTTACTTTTGACTTAACAATATCTCCATCGGTGTCTGTACTGTTAAATATTAACAAAAGCCCTTGCTTGCTGACCAAATTCTTACAGTGCCATATTATTTCTTGTTAGCTCACCTGGACCAAAGGGCCAAGTGAGCTTATGCCACAGCACGGCGTCCGTCGTCCGTCTGTCTGGTGTCCGTCAACTTTTCATTTAAACAACTTCTTCTGAAATACCGAAAGGCGTAGAGTTATCATATTTGGCTGGAAGGTTCCTTTGATGAAGCCAAACAAAGTTTGCAAAAAGAAATGACCTTGACCAATCTTTAAGGTCACAGGAGTCAAATGTGTTAAAACGTTTAATCAATTTCTTCTGAAATATCGAAAAAGCCTAGAATCATTATATTTGGCCAGTATGTTCCTTTTATGAAGTTCAAGAAAGTAAAAGAAATGACCTTGACTCATAGTCAAGGTCACAGGGGTCAAATGTGTTAAACGTGGAACATATGTACAGATATAGTAATGTTGGTCATAAAAATCCAGGTGAGCGATACAGGCCCTCTGGGCCTCTTGTCAGTTACATAAAGCCATTCTTATCATAAATGACCATGTCGGTTGTTCTAGAATTTGACCTGATGACCTATCGCAGGCTGTCCAGTGTCCCTAAAATTTTTTTCAGTTTTGCTAAAATTCCTATAAAAAAATGAAAAATTCAAAGGTAATTCCTAAAAAAGTCCTAATTTTTCACTTCAGTTCCTACTTTTTTTATATTTCTTACAATTTATTGAAAATGTTTTCATTAAATTCATACTTAAAATGTATTTTAACGTAGTCTGTAGTTCTAATTCAGGGTAGACAATGAAAAGCAGTTGACCAGTGGATCTATGTACCCAGACTGTTATTGGTTGTGACTGAGTGACAGAGGTGTGATTCTTAAGGTCACAGCCAACAGCAGCTGGGACACTGAAACCCTGGAAGACACCTTTCCTGCAATTAAGACATTGTATGTTAGTTTCTATTTTGTCAAATTTGCAAAGGTAAGTCAGTTTAATGCTTTTATACTCCCTATTCTAGTTACAAAATTCCTTTTTGTCAAGAAGTGCTGGACAGCCTGCCTATCGATCCCAGGATGCAACAGGCTATTATAAACTTCTGTTATGGCTTCCAAAGCAACCAATAAAGTTCAGAAGATATTGTTGTGATTCATATTAAAAGGTATGATTAATTAAATTCATGAGAATGTTATTTTCATTTCATTCTTAAAATCATCCTATGTACGGTTGCCATTGATGGTACCAACATCTTGTACTGGTGTAACCTTGATTTAATTCACTGCTTTGTATTCTTTCTGGAAGCGTGACATGTTTCAGCAACAAAAAATATCAGGATGCGATGTCACAAAGGTTAATAGTGCATTTGAAATGCCTCAACAAAATGGCTGTTCTGAAATATATGAAGGTCCAGAGCTGATGTCCAGATGATACTTTTTTATCTTTTTTTTTTATTCTGTGAATTTTTTTGTCCACATATAAGCCTGTAAAAATACAGTAACTAAGATACAGATGTTCTTTCACTAGGTTTCTACCTTTTTCCCCAAAATAGAAAACATTAGGAAAATGCTCCTGTTTCTGTAGGGAAGTGTGGCTTGTCCTTACTGTATAATCTTTGTTTGAATCGGTTTAAGTTGTATATGCAGTAATGGTTGAAGCTGTGGGTAAACACCACTGTTAGATATGTACTGTTGACATCTGTCACATAGTGTATTCTAGTAAAATTAAAATGTATTAAAGTGAGGAATCGTCCCTTTAACTCTGAGTGGATTGATTATGGCTATAGAAGCTACAGCAGGGATATTGTCTTTGGCATTAGTCTAGAATGTAGGGAGACCAGTAGACAACACAGCAAGCAACACAAACGTTGAGATAATCACAAATCAACAAATTATACACACAGTCAAGTGTGTCAGTATGCTTTGGCCAATGTAAAACTCAACAATCTTTCTAAAGTAACCACATGTATGTGGGCCATTTACATTCAGCAAATTAGCATCTTCCATTTGAACATAAAGATAGGAAACATGCGTTTTGTTGTGAAATGTACGTGGACACATGGTTAGCATGTGTTTTCTGTAGGATAATATTCTGTGTCAAGTTGTCCTCTATACTTCTCATGGTAACTTGATGGTATATAAGTAGTCTTGGGTTATGATAAGACAATACAATGAATGTTTGTTACTGAACACTTTTTAAAAACATAATGATTATTTTTCGGTGATACTTTACTTCAAAAACCCATTTAATAAGTATTGGGGTCAGGACATTTACAGATATGCATTATATCATAGTTGAACAAATTGAGGCTTTACTGAAGTGGTGAACTTTAAAAATCTTGTTCTAAGGGCAACACAGCAATGAATTGTTATTTTTCTTCATATCTGTCCCGCTGTACAATAAATAAAAGGAACTCTACTGCCTGTCATAGTTGTAAACCAAATCCACTATACCATACATATGGTAGAATCATTGATGGCAAAAATATAGAGAATGTAAAACTACATCTTTCTAAGCTTCCATAGAAATCCAGTTTTAGAGTAACAGGACAATCATGTGGCTTGGCCTAACTACAGATGCTTATACACAGTACTTGTACAGTAGATCACAGGAAACATGTTTGAGTTTGGCCTTAGATTGATGCTTTAAGTAACAAGTCCTACATCTACTGTAAAACAATTTATGCATGCAAACTTTTCAATGTTTCAACTCTGAAATGGTTTGACCTTCAAGAAAATAGTTTAACACATTTTAAATTACAAAAAGTAATTTAGTTTAATTTTCTGTTTTGTTTCATGTTTTCCCATATGTACAATTGATTATATTTATGAGAATTCTACATGTTAACATATTCTTCTATACACAGACTATAATGATAACCTAGGTTTTGACAAGACGGAGAAGTTTCTTGTTGCTGTAGAAATGATAACAATACTATAGGGTGTAGACTGAAGTTTTGTGAAGTGTGAATTATGTATCTTCCTGTTATAAGACTACGTGCTGAAACCATTGATGTAACAGTGCTGAACAATGGTAGTAATTTGGATCAATTGTCTGCTCCGTAGATTTGTTGTCAGTACACCTCAGTAGTAAGGCAATGTTCTAGAAGAAGAAGAAGAAAAAGAAGGATATATATAAATTTGCATGCTTTTTAAATTTCCCAGGATGAAAAAAATTAGTATCTGAAAGGATATTCCTTTTGTTTTATGTTAATTGTCAAAGATTTCTTAATTTGACCTATGATTAATTTTTTGTATTGATCTTTTTTGCCCCATTGAGATTAAAATGATATGAAGTTGTAAAACCTGGCATCTGTGCTGTTTTAGTTCTTATTAATGGGAGCATTGACACCACATCCTTATACTTTTTCACATTCTCGTGTGACCAAGTCCTGAGATCCATTGAGAACATATGTTTGGATGATGCACATAACACTAGTTGTCTCCCCTGAGTAATTGTAGTAATGGTGTTTGTCCTGACAAAGTCATTCTCCATTGGTATTCCACTTTGAACCTGTGCCCACCGCTCACTTTGACCATCATCAGGGCTACTGATCCTGGAGATATCACAGTTCCATGTGATTGCGTTATACTGTCATTGCTTTATACTGTTATTGCTTTAGACTTTTCTCTTTCTGTTATTAAAATCAGAACCATATCTAATTTGACTTTGTATTTTTGTTCTATTGATAAATAGTCTGATAACATTTAATATTGCCTATTTTATGCCTGGGAAACTACGAGTGTAGAAATTATGTAAGGGGTGTGATAGATTAAGTTAAAAGTGCCAATAATATGTGTACAACACATTAGATAGTATACAATACTATACATTTATTTATTATAACAAATCTATCTATGTGATTTCTCCTGATTTAATCACAGACCCATGATATATCGTATGGGTATAAATGGAAACGACTTGACATTAATTCGATCTCCCTACTTATGGATTTGAGGTTATTAATTCCAGCAGTATGAGAAGTATGTGGGTTTTTTGTTTAGAGAGTAGTAGATCAATGATAAT